CGCTACCAGAGCTCCTTTTAACACTTATAGGCCTATTCAAATATTCTATTTAATCTTGTGTCACTTAGGGTACATAGTTTTAAAAGGAATATATTTGTTTCATCTAAGTTCCCATATATGTTGGCATTAATTTTTCCAGAATACTATCTTTTTATCAGTTTTATTGAGGTATAACTTATATAAGGTATAATTTCATATAAATTACATAAGATCCATGTATTTGAAATGTGTAATTCATTCTGTTTGATACCTTTAGAGCTGTGTAGCTGTCTACACAGCTTGGTGTTAGAAGACAATCATCACTAACACATTCTAACATTTGTGGTCACATCCCATCCCTTTGGAACCCTGAGGCAGCCACTAATTTGAGCATGCTGTAAATATATTTGGCTTTTATGTGTATTTCATAGCAATAGATTTCTACGGTAAGTCGTCTTTTGTATCTCCTCTTTTATTTGCCTGTTTTTGAGCTTTGTCCAGCAAATTCTCAAAGTCTATTGAGGTAAGAAAAGACACACACACTCCTTTAACAATTGCTGAATACTATCAGAATAGATGAGCTCTTACCATAAAGCCTCACTCATCATCTGCCAGCTTATCCTGCTCTGGTGCTTTGAGTGTTGCTGTGGAAACTCTACCCCCGATCCTTCAAATACCAGCGGGGTCATCCCATGGACAGGTTTTTTGCAGAGCTTCCCAACTAAGACAGACAAGAATCAGTGACAAACTACTTCTGAATGTTTAGCTACTGAAAATCTGATAAATACCAGCTGAACATTGTCAGATGTAGTGCTGGAAGATGAACCCTTAGGTTGGAAAACACTCAAAGAGTGCCTCCTACTTTCGAGCTCCCCCCTCAAAGTAGAGCCTAATAATGTGAATGGAGCAAAGCTTTGGGGACTTTGATTTACTGATGGGACCCAACTCAGAATGAGAGGAAATATCTCCAAATGTCCATTAATAATCGGAACATGGAATGTATGAAGTGTGAATCTAGAAAAATTGAAATGGGACCCATAAAGATTGATATTCTAGACTTTAATGAGCTAACCTAGTATCGGTCATTTTGAATCAGACAGTCATATGGTTTATTATGCATAATAAACAATGCATAAGAACAATGCATCAGTTCTTCTGCAGTCTTCCTTATTCATTGCCCAACGTTCACATCCATATGAGGCTATAGGCAAATATCATGGGGTCCCTTACTTCTGACACTGACATCTTTGCTCTTGAACACTTTAGAAAGGTTGTGTGTGGCTAAATTGTCCAATGCGGTACATCATTTGATTTATTGACTGCTGCTTCATGAGTGTTGATAGTGGAGCTAAACAAATTAAAGTCTTTGACAACGTCAATCTTTTCTCTGTGTATCACAGTGTTGTTTGTTGATCCAGTGGTAAGGATTTTTGTTTTCTGTACATTGAGATATAACCCATACTGAAGGCTGTAGTCTTTGATCTTCATCAGTAAATATTTCAAGTCTTTTTCGCTTCTAGCAAGCAAGGTTGTATCTTATACATATCACAGGTTGTTAATGAGTGAATTCCCAGATGGGATTATAACACACAGGCATTTTTGTTGGTATGTGCCCTGAGTCAATTTCCAAGGAGCACCTGGTGGGTTTGAACCGCCAGCTTCATAGTTAGTAGTCTAGTGCTTATCCTGCAGCTCCATACCAGGACTCCAGCCACATAGAGGTTAGGCTTTATAGGTTTGTGGAGTACAATTCAATCTAAAATAGTAATTATTAAAAACAAAAAACAAAAGATCATATGAAAATGTTGGCCACAATTTACTTTGCCACCCTTTTTGCCTGTAATGTAATCACTGTTCCCCACCCATCCACTTACCTGTTTGCACCTTCTCAACCTTTTCAGTATTTCTTTCTGAACTGCTGTCTCCCAGAATGCTTTGTGTTTTTTGTTGTTTCTGCTGTTGTGGAAAGCATACTAGTCTCCTAAAACTCATTTCAAGCTTTCTGTCTTTCAGAGATTTATTTGACACACTCAAATAGAGTTATGCTCTCCTTGATTAAAAAAAATTTTTTTTTTAAATTGTGGAGTGAGTGATAGTTTACATGGGTGAACATCGGTTTTACACCATTGTTTTACTGCAGTGATTACAATCTCCTCTGTGCATCATCATTCAACAGTATTTGCTTCCATTCCCTCTGGTTTTTTTTTGCAGGGGGTCTTTAGGGGGTATATACAAAAACAATCAGGAATATATGATAATTTAAACACCCATAGGGCACATTCTGCAAGCCTGTCTCCTGGCCACCAGCACTGACTCCTTCTCTCTCCATGAGTCTAGAGTCCTCAGCAGCATTTTCTCTCCATGTCCCCATCTCTGCCTCCATCTCTGGTGTTGCTACTTCTCTGGATAGGATCCCACATTCCACTTGTGCTCTTCTCCCTTACTGATCCTAGGGTCCTCTGTTTCTGGAGTGTAACATTAACTACTCCCCTGTTTTTGTTTCATGATAACAATTAATACTGAATCATAAGAATCTTATCCCCATTTCTTTTCACCAGACCCTTCTAGACAAGATGAAAACTGTTCAGTGGGGGCTCTTATCTTCCCCCGCACACTCTGAAACTAAACTCCCTATTGAAAACTTGTAAGCCAGTCACTTTGTGCCTTTATTGCCCCCTTATTTTAGGTCGCCAATGTCTAAGTTGCCCGTCCCTATCTACCCTATATACAGAGGAGATGGGATTGATACTTGATGTGAAGACTCCTTCCCTCTCAGTTGGTATTTTGAGCTACTACATACATAAGTATATGTCAAGTTCGTCAAATTGTAGCAATTTATACCCGTTTCCTTTATCCAAAAAAAAATTTTTTTTTTCAATCTTCCTTTAGTCGAGTTCTGATTATCAAGGCAAGGTCAAATGAGTACTATCTTCTCTCTCTCATCTCCAGATCAGTGGGAGTCTAACGTGGTTGAATTCAGCCCATTTCTTCATGGCTGCCTTTCCCCCTCTTCCAGTCACCAGTAGACCAATGTGGTCGCCAGTAAGCTTACATGCCTACTCTTGTGTTCCCATTGAGTTTCAGTCTTAGAGGGGAGTTTGTTCTGAAGGGTCTTGATTGCGTGCCTTGATGGCTTCCCAGTGAACAATGTGCTTGTTCTTGTAGTAGCCAGTCATACTGCCCTTTTTGTTTTGGATTTTTCCGGCTGATCTTTCTTTGAAGATGTATCTTCTGTTGCTCTAGCTGTTCCAGGCTGGTCTGCTTGTCCTTTCTAGCGGGAATGTCCCACCTCAGAAGGTTCTGGAGGGGGCTCAGGAAACCATTTATGGTCCTGTACACTGCAAAGGCTCTGCAAGAGGCCTATGTCATTGGGCAAGTTCTAGAACCCCTTCTAGGTATTCCAATCAGATAGGCTGAAGCTTTCTGTAATCATGTTTCCTGACAATCCTTTCTATCCCACTCAAGTGTCTATTTTACAGTATAGCATAGTGGTTACGAATTGGGCTGCGAACTGCTGGTCAGCAGTACGAAACTACTCGTTGTTCCCTTGGAGAAAGATGAGGCTTTCTGCTCCCATAAAGATTTACGGCCTCGGAAACCCTGTACAGGGTCGCTATGAGTTGGAACTGACTCCATGGCACATAACCACCACCATCAGGAAGGGAAACCAATATTCAAAAGGCAGTCAAGCATGTGAGCATTATTTCCCCTCTTCAGACTATGCCTCGATCCCTGTATCACAGAATCCTGTTTCTTTGCTTCTTATCCACATTGTATGCCCTCTTCATTTTTGAGTCCTGGGGTGGCGCTGTGGAGTAAAGTGCTGGACCACAAGGTCAGTTTGAACCACAAGGTCGGTGGTTCATACTCACCATCTGCTCCTTGGAAACTCTGTACAGGTTGCTATGAGTCAGAACTAACTCACCAACACTTAACAACAATCATTGTAACACCTTAATTTATTTATTGTGCACATGTTTGCAGTCTGCTCTGAGACTAAGCAATCTTTGTGGAGTTTGTTGTGTGTTTGTTTTGCTACCACCTCTTTCGGTACACAACCCTGGAAGAAAATTTTTTGTTAGTGGCTCAGAGAATTTAAAATCACTTGTTGGTTGCTCTGTAGGATAATGTGCTGGACTGCAAGATCAGTTTGAGCTACAAGGTAAGTGGTTCAATCCTACCAGCCACTCCTCAGAAACGCTATGTAGGGTTGCTGTGGTTAGAATTGGCTTGATGGCACTTAACAAAACATTCTAACTATTATAACGAGCTCGTGGGAGAACGATGTCTTCTCCCATAAACATTTACAGCCTCAAAAACCACAAACAGGGATGCTCTGAGTTGTAACTGACTCAAGGGCACACCACCACCACCACCACCTTTCTAGCTATTGTATGTTGGGTATAAATGGAAGGGTGGAAACATTCACACTGCCATTTTCTACCACAAAGTGTAATGCAAAGGTAGGAACATTATTAGACTATGATGGCTCTGATGACAGTAATGTACCCAAGCTCTAGTATGTCTTTCCCCTGTTATGTGAAAGTGATGAATTTACCAGGATGACTTTCTTAACAGGAGTCGTTGTCATTTGAAGATCTGTCTGTGGACTTCACACAGAAGGAATGGCAGCTGCTGGACTCCCGTCAGAGGGACTTATACAAGGACGTCATGTTGGAGAACTATAGCAGCCTAGTGTCACTGGGTAAGAAAAGTTGTCAGATGCTGAATGCCCTGGAGCTTCTGAAATATTTACTTGGGACTTAAATTTCGGAGATTAAATAGCTCTGATTGGGACAGAAGATGAAATATTTGGATCGTGTTTAACCTCGGAAACTAAGCCGTGGGAGTGGTAGCTGTTGCAGTCCCTCCTTCCTTCCCTCCCTCCCTCCCTCCTAACTCATAGACCTTATGACATGCCATTCACTGCCCGGATATTGACTCATTGGATCATTAGATCAATTCTCTTTGGTGGGTTCTATTATTATTATTATTACTGATGAGAAAATTGAAGGAAGAGCAGTTAAGTAACTTTCCCAAGTCTTGACAGCCAGTAAATGGAGAGTCTGTATTTGAATCCAAACAGTCTGGCTTCCGAACCTCTGATGTGCTTGGACTCTTACGTGTTTCAGACTTGAGTCACAGAAGTCAGTTAACCACCAGAGAAGCTGTTATTGTTCCTCTGAAAATTCTTTACAGTGTTGAGATACAAAATGGGTACCTTCCCTGGGTTAACTCTAATGCTAAACTTTGCTCATTCTTCAGAGGCCTTAAAGCCTAAGCAGGTGGGTCCCAAATCCTTTGTGATTTCCCCTGATAGGGTATGAAGTTATGAAACCAGATGTGATCTTCAAGCTTGAACAAGGAGAAGAGCCATGGATAGTAGATGGAGAAGTTGCCAGTTCAAACTCTCCAGGTGAGTGTGAGAATTAAGCAGATGGGAGAAGGCATTCACTTCAGTCAGCCTCAGTTGATGATGAGTTGGTGATTTAGAAAATGAGCTACTTAGGCAAATCTTAAGATGTGGCTTTTTTGTAGATTAAAGTGAAATGTGACTCCTATCTGGCGCATGAAGTTCGCCCCTGTGCATCACATCTAGGACTTTTGACTACTTGTTTGGTATTTTGTCCCCTGGTATGTTTAATCTCCTTATGACCCAAAGTAAGAGCCATCTCTGTGTACTCAAGATGTAACTCATTTTTTTCTTCGTTTTGTGTATTTCTAATTCCGGAATCCTGGAAAGTTCCACTGTGTTCATTGTCATTATATAGAACAAATGCAGTCATAATTCCGCCTAAACAACATGTCGTGTCCCCACATTCCTCACAGTGATGATGTTTGTTGGTTTATTTTTTATTGTGGTGAAGTGTTTTTGCCAAAGTAGTTGCCAATACAGCCTCACCATTCACAATTCAGTGACAGTCTTAGCATTTTTGCTTCCTTTTCTAAAAGATTCCACTGGGAGTGCTGGTATGGTGCTGTAGGATAAGCACTGGACTGCAAAGTCGATTTGAACTGCTCGGTCTGTGGTTCAGACTCACCAGTCACTCCTCGGAAACCCTCCCCCAGGTCCCTAGGAGTCAGAACAGGCCGGAAGATACTTACCAACAGCATTAACATAAGCCCAATGTCCCCAAACTCAAACTCCCTCTTTTCTTTCTTCCTCCAACTCTTATAACCCTTAATAATCTTTGATTACTGTATATTTGCTTATTTCACATCAGTGAGATTATGTAGTATTTGTCCTTCTGTGACTGCCTTACTTTGCTCAGCATGATGTTTTCAGTGTTCCTTCATGTTGTGGCATCTGTTAGGACTTGGTTCTCTTTAGGGTTGTATGATACTCCATTGGACGCAGGAACCTCTTATTTATTCATTCTTCGCTTAATAGGTATTTAGGTTGTTTCTACCTGTTGGCATTTATAAAAAGTGGTACCGTGCTCATTGCAGGACAAGATTTGGATTGTGTGCCATTTTCATTTTTTCTGGGTATATACCTAGGAGTGAGATTTCTGGATCATACTATTTTTATTAATTTTTTACTTAAGGTTTTTGCTGTGGATTGAGTAAAAGTTTACAGAGCAGATCATCAGTTTTACATTCAACAAATCATATTCCTTATTTCATTACAAAGATTATAATCCCCTCCATGTACCATCAGTTAACAGTGCTTCTCTCTATTCCCTTGAGCTCTTTTTTATTTTAAAAAACACTCAGGAATGTATAATAATTTATACCACCAAAGGGCGCATTCCTCAAATCTGCCTCATGGCCACCAGCACTCAGTCCATCTCTTCCCATGAATCTAGAGTCCTCAGCTGCTTCCTCTCTCTATGTCTCCATCTCTGTGTTGCTGCTTCTCTGGACAGGGTTCCACATTCTACTTGCTTCTCCCTTGATGGTCCTAGGGTCCTGTTTCTGGACTGTATGATTAACCATTCTCCTGTTGTTGTTACAAAACTTCTACCTTTACAGTTGTGACATTTGCAATTAGTCATGATAATTACTCACTGTTAAATCATAAGAATCTTATCCCCATCTCTCTCTTTTTTTTTTTTTTAAGTTTTTATTGTGAATTATGTGATAGTTTACATGGGAGAGCACCAGCTTTACATTCATCCTATCATATTTCATTGTACTGCAATGCTTACAGTCCCCTCCATGCATCATCAAACAACCAAAGGGTGCACCCTGCCAGTCTGTCCCCCAGCTGTCAGCACACAGCCCCTCTCCCTCCCTGAGTCCAGAGTCCCCAGCTGCTCTGTCTCTCACCTCCATCTCTGGCATAAGTGCTTCTCTGGATAGGGTCCCGCACTCCCCTCTCCTCATTTGATGGTCCCAGGGACTGCAAAAGGAACCACTCCCTTCCTTTTGTTACAAAACATCTACCTTTACATTTCCGACCTTCACAGTCAGTCCTGATAGCAGTTATTCACTGTTGTACCACAAGAGTCTTAGCCCCATCTCCTTTCATCAGCCCCGACCCAACAGATTAGAAGCCACTCAGTGGAAATTCTACCTTCTGCTATGCTATACCCTCTGAAACTGGGCTCCCTTTTGAAAATTTATAAGCCAGTCACTTCTTGCCATTGTAGCCCCCCCATTTTGGGTAGCCAATGTTTAAGTTGCCCATCCCT